TTCCATTCTCCACTCCAAAGAAACAGCTGCACCTCCTGTGCAGTTATCAGGGATATAACTTCCTCTTCCTTTACCTTCTCTGCACTTCTCCTTCCTTCTTTCCTTTCCATTCCTGACCCATAATAGGTTTCCCTAGAAAGAGAATTCAGGGCACTATCTGTGAGAAAGAGATGGAGGAAATTAGAAGTGAGGGAAAAGAGATAATGCAACTCCTAGTTTAGCTGGGTTGCTGCAGGATAGAGTAAGGCAGGGAAACTTCACAAGACACAAGCATTTCCTACGACCAGCAACAACAAAGAGGGAAGCGCCACACGAAGGCTGGGGAGCCCGCACACACGAAGCGGGTGCAGCAGCCTGGGGTCTTCCCGCCAGCTCTGCAGTCTCCCTGGACCACGATCTGTTTCTTCCTCTGCCCCACACAGAGCTCCCTGAGAGATGCAACCCATCCCTACCCAGTCCCGTCCACCTCCTCTCCCTGGAGTTTAAGATCTGCTTCTCACTGGGGTTGGGACTGTCTCCAGTAAGGAGTTCCAAGGCCCAGTCGGCACTGAGACCTCGCTCTGCACTAGGCGGCTTTGCTTAGGCAGCACCCATGCTCTGACGATGCAAAGGCCCACCTACTAGCGATTTTGATTACCAACAATTTTGATAAACTGTTGTCCGCATCCTCTGGTTGCCTTTCTAAACCCCTTAGCCACGGGAGTCAAAGATGTATCAAGATCAACGTGAAGTATGCACTCAGGAAATTTGGTTTCTAATCCTGCTTCCTGTCTTTGATGTTTCTGTGCCATGAGATTTTCAGTAAAACATCTGCCATTCAGGCCACTGTGTTAGCTTTAAAAAATGTAACTAACACAACCCAGCTGCTGTTATTCTCTGTCCCATCCCCACCCTCAAACTCTCAGAGGGGCATCAGCAAAACAGCTAATTCCCTCTCTGGGCTGGTGGATAATGGTCTTTCTGCCTTTCTCAGCTCTTCTCTGGACCCACCAGCTACCACGTGATTATTAAAGCTCTGAGGACCCGTGCTCGATGGAGATTGTGAGAGCCCAACCTCCAGCATGTGCCACATGCATGCCATCCACCTGCCGGCATAGGCAGCTCATATTTTCCACAGACAGGAACTCAGATAAGGTCCCAAACCCAACACGGTAACCTGAGTAAAGATGCTGTCAGCCTAAAATTACAACAAACAGAAAAGCTGGTGCCATCTCTTAGAAAGATAGCCTGTGCAGAAGTACCATAGTTGTGTGATGTTTTAAAGACCCAAACTAAGACCTTCAAAGTCACATGCATATGAGAGTAGTCGGGTTGCACACTGACCACAACAATAAAATCTGAAGCTGACAGTCATTTCTTCTAAACAGAAAGCTCTAGAAGCTACGTCTCTGCTCTGATGACTTTATTTCCAGCTTCCACCAATTCTTTTCCATCCAAATCTCAAATTTGGAATGAGGACAAGTAAGTAACAAGTAAGTAGGTGTTTCCAAGTTCATTTGCTCCCCTGGATTGTGCGCGTGATTCATTATGTTCCTTTGCAAACCGTCTCCATTTTCCTTGAGACTCAGCTTTGAGTGTGGTGCAGGGCCACCTGCATCCAATTTTGATAAACCCTGAAGTGAGGGGACCGCTAGCATGGTGGTGACAGAGTGTGATCAACTTCTGGTTAACCAGGATGATTTTCGTGCCATCTGTATTCTCGTCCCTCCACCTGCCTGATTCTTGTTACACACATTTGAAAAGTCATTTGTTTAATGTCTCTACGTGGCTCCCCAGAGTTTTCTCTGGAAACCAAGAGAAGTCCCTAATAGAATATTCTCACGGTGGAAAGCCGTTGCTTATCGGTTTGTTTGGTCTTCTCAATAATGAGGAAATGATGCTGCCATCATGACGATGTACATCTGCAATGTGACTTTGGAAAACTGGGACTGAGGGGGTTCCAAGGGAAGCCATTGCGGCTGGGATCCCTCTGTGGCCACCCACATACCAAAGGACATTTCCTGGCCTTATTTTGAGTTAAATTCTGGCTCCACCAAGGAAGGAAAGCCATGCTCTTTCACGAGGACCTGGTGCTCTCAATTGTCCAGCCTTCAGCACTCGCTGCTGAGTAAGAGGCAAACGGACTACCTAACAGGCAGAGGAGGGTTAGCCAAGCGTCCCTAAAATAGAATGTGCTTTTGAAGAAAATTAAAGAGCGTTACCGAAAAGCCGAGAAGGGAAGCTGATCTCCAAAGCCCACTCATGTCTTTCCTCTTTAAAGATTCTCGACCAAGTCACATGGTTATTTTACAAGACCTTGGCATTCTAGACGAAATCGCTCACCTTTGGACACTATCCAAAGACTCTTGTCCAAAACTCTGTTGGGGTCAGATGTTCAAACTGCTGAACAGACCATTTTATTTCAAGATACACAAATTAATGTAGGCAGATATAAGCCAACATACAGCTAGCTGCACAAAAAGCTGAGCCAAAATACAAACTCAAATAACAGAAGAAGTCAATATTTTTTCCTCTGAGCTTGTAGGTTTTGTCATAAGTTAGCATTTATCTCATTTTTCCTTGGGCTCAAACTAGTGGACATACCCCAAGGCAGAAGCACACCTGAGCAATCCTGGTGGCCCCACGCTTAGCCCTGGAAAGCTGGGTGCCCGATGCGTACTCCACAGAATTGGCTGTCAAATGATTACCCTGATGGCAGTAACTGAGGAAATCCACATGAGCGTAAAATTTATCGTTTTTAAAAATGCTTTTTAAAACACATATTGTATCTTATTTTATCTTTGCAACAAGTTTGTGCCTATTCTTACTAGTTCAAAGCAGAGGCTTGGAATTGGGAAAATGTGACTCCCTGATTCTAAAACCCTCCGTACGTCTTCGCCTGTCACGTGCCTCAGTTAAATGTTCAGAAAACACACTCGTGTGTGTAAAGGTTTTCTTTTTTCAAAATTAGAAAATTGACACTTGCAAACAATTTGTTCTCAGGCGGAGAATAATGACAAGCAGAAAATTGTCCTGAATATTTAATAAGGACCAGACAGCCTGTTATATCGTGTTTGAAAATGAAATTGAAAGTAAATAGAATACAGTGGACCTATGTTTCTAACATCAATAAAATATGAAGACAGTGACAGAGTCCCAAATTCTGAGGATAGAAAGTGAGAAAGTTGGAGAAATACAGTGACAGGAAAATGAGTGTGCAGAGAGGTGACCCCTGGGGAAGTGCCACTTGGTTCATGCTTGTAGAGGACAATTTGTCCGTGTGTCAGTGCTAAAATCTGCTCACTATTCAGCATGCTCACTGTGGCACCAGCTGTAGTCACCAGAAACCTAGGGCTTCAGAATATGGTACAATCGCCATCTCACGGACATAGAAAGAATGCCATCTTATATTACTAAACGGAAATATTGGTTAAAACCAGTATAATCTCATTTTTGTATTTTGTTTAAAAAACATGCGTATCAGGGCCAGCACTACTGAACGCATTTTGCTTTCAGATGCTATGTTCGTTCTCCGTTAATTGTGCAACAAGCAGTCTCCAAATTTAGCCTCTGAAGAAAATAACCATGATATCTGGGGTTAGGAACCTGGCCACGTCCTCACTAGGTGCTCTGGCTCACACTCTCTCATGAGGTCGCCGTCAAGTTGCCGGTTGCCCCAGTGCTTGGTATCTCAGAAGACATGAGTAGGGCTAGATGAAGCACTTCTGTTCTCACATAGCTTTTGGCATGAAGGTTCAGTTCCTTGACATATGAGCTGCTCGTGATGTGGCTTCCCCAGAATGAAGGATGAGAGGCTAACACAGAGGCCACAGTGTCTATGACACAACCTGAGACAACACACACCATCACTTTTGCTGTATTCTATTGGTTACGGGAGGCAGGGACACTGAAGGCCGTGTCAGACCCTGCCTATCACAGCCCGTCTTCGCCCCTTCCCGAGGCCCACAAAGGCCGCATCCCTTCAATCGCTTCCTTCTCTCATTTTGGCTGGCTGCATGTTCGATAAGGGCAGGGAACGTGGAGTGACTCAAACCCACGTGAGTGTGCCTTGGTGTTTGGCAGGGCCTCGCCTTAGATCTGCGCGTGGCAGATGGCCTGACTTGTACCCCGGCCTAGCTCCCAGCAGGTGCTCTGCAGTCTGTCTCTGCCCCATTGGGCTGGTCCTGACCACTTCCTACTCCCAGGGCCCCTCTGCCTCCAGAGTGTTTCCTAAGGGGACACCCACCCCACGAGCCACTCACTCCTCCATCTACTTGCTCTGTGTTGTACAAGGAGACATGTTCTCGGCGTCAGCACGAAAACCCATGGAGAGTGGCACGGGGCCCAAGTCTGGTCCTCTAGGACCCTAACGCCCAGGCACAGGGAGCAGCGGTCTAGTTTTAGGTTACAGAAACCCAGCCCCTGAGCCTGGCAGAGAGTGGGATAAGCAAAGCCTTCTCTTAGGGTCTCGTAGTCGATTCCATGATGGGATGAGAAGGTAAAATGAACGCTCCTGGAGTGGGGGCTCCTCTTCCAGCCATCCCTACTGGCATTGCACTTGGTGGAAGTCCTCTTTATATTTCTATCGATGCCAATGCAGGTTTTATGTCTTCGTAGAGTGTCACAGATATTTTAACAGGAAAGAGAGAGGATCTCAGGCTAATCCAGTGGTTAATTTTTACATATGCCTGATGCACTTCCTCTCAGAGAACAATATATTCATTATACGTATAAACCATGAATTTTTAATTCCAACAAGGGCTAAAAATGACTCCACTCACCAACTCCCATGGCAGCCAAATGATGCATGCGGGTAGAATTCTAAAAGACAGACGCAGAAGGGTTACAAGTAACATCCAGGCCTCCAGAGCAGGCGAGGCGGCCATGCAAAGCGGCCTGTAGGAATGCTAGCTGTTGCCAGAAGCTTGCTCATCCTCCACTAAGTGTAGCAGATTGTTCACCAGCAAGAATATGCCTTAAACACATGTCAAGAGGAAAACTGTAACATGAGGTGTCCTTACCTTATAATAAATTCTGGCCACCAAACCCCGCTGAAGAACCCTTTCACGAAAATTCACTGCTTTCAACAGAAAGGTGAGAGCACCAACTGTGTTCGCGGTAAATGCCAGGAAGCTGAAGGGAAAGCACAGGGACCAGTATTATTATTTCATCCTCACCAAAGAATTTCACCCTGTTTGTTTTTTCAGAAAGAATTTTCTTCCAGCAGAAAAGTAATGTTCACAGACATAATTGCCCCTCACACTTCCCATTTGCTGATTCGAGCTTCCTTCAGTGTTTGTCTGATGAATGCTTGCCTCTAGTTTTCCTACATGGTGGTCCTCATGGTATAAAGGTAATTTGGGTTTCTGCTTTTTCCACTTAATAATTGTATTATAAGTGGTGTTCAGTATTTTACATAGTCTTTCTTCAGTATTTTATGTAGTCTTTCTTCAGTATTTTATATAGTCTTTCTTCACCAATTGGGTTTATCATAATTTACTCAACCATTGTTGGGCATGTGTTATCATAATGATGACAAGTGAATATTAATGATTAAATATATCTGTAATGAAGTATTTATCAATGAGTGATATTTCTCAAATATATTATGTATCAGGAACTATGCTACTCATTGCTGTGAATTATTCAATGATCTCAATAATTCTATGATGAAGATGCTATAATTTCCCAAAGTGCAGCTTGAGAAACTGAGGCTCAAGAAGATATGGTAACCCGCTCAAAGGTCACACAGGTAAAACATGCTCCAGCTTGAGTTTTGTCTTCGAGGACACTTGTCTTAAAGGGAAGAGGAGCCCAAGGGCAGTGAGAGGGGGTGTGGGTGAGCTCAGGGTAGGGTATGCCACAGAGATGAAGTCTTTTTTCAGCAGATAGAAATATCCATCTTCCCCATCTGGTAAATGAGGAAACTGAGGCATGGGAAACTTAAGAGAGGCATAAACAGACTCAAAACACCCAAGTTCCCTCACAACCCTATAGGCTTTTCACCATGCAACTCAGCCTTTTGTGCTATCCTGCCCTCCCCAACCCCACAATGAAACTTCCGTCTTTAGAATTTAGATAGACAGCTAAGGGACCAATTCACACAGGGACTCCCAGAGCTAGGCTCCCCGTGCCCTCCTCTTTGCCCATATCATCGAGAAGTAAGTTATTATAAGACTCAGATATCTTAGATTCCCATTAATTAAAATAAAAAGGAACAAGTAGCTGTCGTTGCTTGATCAGAAGCCATGAGAGAAACACTAAGAAGCAATTGATACAGTGCTTTTGAGACAAGATGGGAGATATTTACCACATGCCAATTATCAGAAAACTCAAATTACAAAATTATATCAGTACTCATTTTGAATCTGGTCTTCAGATAGTTGAATCTCTGTCTTAGTCCTTGTAACAAGAGGTGTAAAGAACTTTTATGTTTTATTGAAAAGTATCTTTTAGTCATTCCAAGGCCGGTTCCCATGAAACCTAGAGACTGTATAAGAAATCACCTTTTTTGGAATGTTTCTTGGCAACACTGTCTGCCTGAGGTTTTTGAACTGGAAGTGGGTGTGCTACAGGAAGTGGGTGTCACCCACCCATGAGTCACATGACTTTTACACATCACAAGCCAAGTACGACCACACCATAGAGCCCTGCGAACTCTTCCAGCGCAGAAAGCTGTAGACTCTTAAAAATAAGAACATCGCTAACGGCATCCTCCTTGTACTTTACAAGAAGGCCAAAGTGATTATAACTTTAAATTAAATTCAAATGCACATTGTTAGTCATAGGGGAAATGCAAATGAGAACCACAATGAGGCAGCATTATACATCTACCAGGATGACTAGGAGTAAATACACTGACAGCATCAAATGTTGAAGAAGGTATGGAGCATCCAGAACTCTCATACTTGATGATAGAATGTAAAATGGCAAAAACACTTTGGAAAAAGTTCTCATGTTTCCCCCTAAAACTAAATAAACACATACACTATGATCCAAAAATTCCACTTCTACTATTTGCCTCAGATAAATAAAAACATGTATTCACAAAAAGACTTGTATACAAATGTTTGAAGTGATTCTACTCAGAGGAGTAAAAAACTGAAAACATCCCAGGAGGGTGTCCACTAATAAAAAGAACAAAAAACAAATCCTAGTATATCCCTAAAGTAGAATACTACTCAGCAATTAAAAAGAACAAACTAATACACATGACAACAGAAATGAATCTCAAAAAGCATTATGTCAAGTTAGTAAACCAGCTGCATGGTTCCACTTTTATGGAATTCTTGAACAGGAAAAAATAAACTGTGGGAGAAAAACGTCAGAAGCGTAGCTGCATCCAGGGTGGTGGCCACAGGGATTGACAGAAAGGGACGTTGTGGAACTTTCTGGAGTGATGCTAATCGCCTTTAACTTAATAAGAGTTTTGGTCACACAGGTATATGCATTTGTCAAAACTCAGTGAATGCACACGTAAGATTTGTGCATTTCATTTTATGTAAATTCTAATAAGGAGAAAAAAACATAACCAAATATGAAACGCTAATTAACAATATTTGTGCTTAACTATTTAGAAGTATGCCAATGTCTGCAGTTTACTTTGAAATGCATCAAAAAAGATGAATTGTTTGGTGGGTTGAGGGGCTGACACATGTGATGTAGCTAGCACAGTAACATAATAGTAGAATCCATATGGTGGTTGTATGAATGTTCACCCAAATTCTTTCAATATTGCTGAATATTTGAAAATGTTCTTAATATGGCAAAACGTTCAAGGGCAATGCAGGAGCTTGACTCATCCCACCCCCATAACCTCCTCCCTTGGGAGAGGGGAGCCTCTGGTGTCCACACAGTGGCTATTGCTTGGGAGGACTTCAGGGCACCAGGCAGTTCTCGATCCATCTTTCCTCATGCCCCCACCTGCTCGTGTGAGTTGTCACTGCAACTGCCATCTGATTGCTCTACTATCGTGTAAGCTCCACATGGCAGAGAGAATGACAAGGCTTTTCTTAATATACATAAAAATCAGAGCAAGTAAGTCTTGGGGACTTAAGTAGATAAACACAGACAGACTGAATCAGTCAACCTGGGAGAGCGATGTGTACTGTTTTGGAGGTTAATAACCGAGACAAAAATAAATGAACTGGAACTTTCCAAAATATTTACAATTGGAATACTGCCTTTGGCGCATCTCAAGCCTGTCCTGGAGAATTTTCAGAGATTTGAATGTGGGTGAGAGTCTGTTATGTTCTCAGAGTGACAGGGACAAGCCCTGCTCTGCTATCTGGAAAAGAAATGGAAGGGCAAATGCACATGGCCTATTTGGGAACAAGGTTCCTGAGTGGATGGAACTGATTCTGCTGGGAAATGTACTGTTTTTTCAACTCCTTACATGTTGGAAAGTTTTCAGACTAGTTAATTGGGGTAGAGAGAAGCTACGAGTCCTATAAAATGACCATTCAGGGCAAGAAACAGCAAAAGGCGCACTGACTTTGTAGACTATGCCAGGACATATCGAGATATTAAAACTAAGAAACTTAAGAGAAACAGTCCTAGGATACAGGAGCTGATAAGACAGACTGTAGTTTGAATAAACAGGAACCTAAGTAGTAAAAAAAGGAGGGGGAGAAAGGATGGAATATAGACTTCTTAATTTCACTTTATGCCAATAGATATGAAAAGTCCCATACTATCATTTGTGTGTTTCCTATGTTTTAATCAGGATTGTAAGATGATATGTTCTAATTAACAGTTTTCTTGGAAATTAATTCAATACACTTGGCTTATGGAGACCAGTAATCTGCCTCCAAATAAAAATGATAACTTAAAAATACACAAAAGGAAAAAGCATAATAAGCTCCTCAAAAGTAGAATAAAGGAAACTATACATTTATGAGCATAAATCGATGAATTAGGAAACAGAGTTATGACACAGAGGATCCATAAAGGGGAAAGCTGATTATTTAAGAAAAAAATAAACCAGACAAACATCTGGGGAGATTAAATAACAACACACAGAAGAGAGAAGGTGCAGAAATAATTTTAGGAATGACAAATGGGACATAACTACAGATCTAGGAGAAGGGAAAAAGGTGATTAGAGAATAATATGAAACACTTTACACCAATAAATTCAAAATCAAATGGATAAATTCCTATAAAAATACCAATTACCAAAACTAATATGAGAAAGCGTAAGTGGTCTTAAAACAATTAAACTAATTAAATCAATAGTTTAAATATTCACCCAGGCCCAGATGGTGTTCAAAATCATCTACTTCTTCTACAGAATAAGACACTGCTCCCAAAGTAACTTTATGATACCAGTAAACCTCATAAATCCAAATCGTGAAAGTACAAGAAACAAAAACAATGCGTCGATAAGGAGATGCCCTGCCCCCGCCAAAACAAAAGCCAGCCAAACCCAGGAAAATATAAAAATGATAACACAGCAAAACAAAACTGAGTGTTTCTCAAGCATGCAAGGGGTGTTTAACATAAAAGACTTATAAGGATTATTTATCACATTAGCAGGCTAAAGAAGAAATATCATAAGATCGTTTCAATAGATGCAAAAAATGAACTGCAGTCAAATCAGTAAGATTAATCATCTAGTAATGTCAAAAATACGATGAAAATAACGATAAATGAGGCTTTGTAAGGAAGTAAAGTGTGTCTATCGGGAAGTTCAGCAAATATCATTCCTAACAGTGAAATGTTAAACTGATTCTTTTTAAAACAAGGGCCAAGACAAAAGATCACCTTCTACACACAAAAAAAGAATAAAAAGAATAACAACTGGAAAGGGATAAATTAAAAAATCATTACTTGCAAATGATTTGACTCTCTATAGAAAAAACTCCCATAGAATCTATAGACACATTTAGAATAATTTTTTTTTTTTATGGACAGGTTTATATACAAAAGCCAACTGTGTTTATAATAAACCAGCAACCACGAAAAACATAATTTTAAAAATATTCTTTTTACAGCAACAAAAAAATAATAAAGTATGCAAGAATAACTCCATCAAAACACATACTCAGTGTAGAGAAAACTATTAAGCCCTGGAAGACACTCATGAGATTAAAATTGCTGAGAAGAAGATCATTTTATACATATGTCAATTATTCTAGAAATCTGTAGATTTAATATACTTTCAAAGAAAATTCTACCAAATTTTTAAAATTGTGGTAAAATATATATAACATAAAATCTACCGTTTTAACCATGTTTAAGTGTATAGTTCAGTGGCATTAGGTACGTGCCACCATCACCACTATCATCTCCAGGATCTTTTCATCTTCCCAAACCGAAACTCTGTCCCCATGATACACTCGCCCCGCCTCTTCATCCCCCCGCCCTGGGGAACCACCATCTACTTCTTGTCTCTAAGAATCTGACTCTTCTAGATCCCTGATCTAAGTGCAATCGACAGTTTTTGTTTTTTCTGTCTGTAGGTTGTTTGTTTTCCTGAGAAACTCAACAAACTGATTCCAAAATTTACACGGAAGTGCAAAAGACCCACAATAGCCAACACAATTCTGAATTATATTTCAGATATATTATATCATGTTCTATAATAATATTACACTATTATAAATGTAGTGTAATTGTCGCAGTATATTGTTGGATTGAGGATATGCAAATAGACTAGGAACAAAATAGCTCTCAAATGAACTCCCACATATATAGAATTTAATGAAGTCCAGAGGGGGCATTGCAGATCACTGGCAAGGGGTAGTTGATTCAGGAAATGGCACTGGGACAACGACAATCCTTAAGGGAGCTAAAAATAGATCCCTTCCTCACACCACAGACAAAGATTTCTAGTGGATTCAGGAATTAAATGTGAAAGGTGAAATGCTCTAACTTTAAAAAATATATAGTTCATGATCTTAAAGTAAACATGACATGAAAAGTGTGGAATATAAAAGATTAATAAATAGAATTGTAATTTAAGGATTTATGTGGATCGAAAGACACCAGGAAGAAAATATGAGAGGCCACAAACTTGGCCAAGATCATTGTAACATCTGTAACAACGAAGGATAAAGAACTCCTAAAAGTGAATAAGAATGAAACAAAAAAAAAGGAAAATTGGCAAAACATGTGAACAGTCACGTCACGTAAGAAGAAACACAAATGGCAAATAAGGATGTGAAAGCACGTTCAACCTTACCCATGTTAAGGAAAATGCAATTTAAAGTCAGTGAGGGATCTTTTTCTTATATTGCATTGACAAATTCAGTCTGATAGTACCAAGTGTGATACGTGTTATACAATCACATTGAGAAACAAGTTAACGTTATCTACCGAAGTCGGACCCTGGCAAACCCCACAACATAGCGGTTTCACTCCTAGGTAATACATGCTGTTGAGGAGTGCTTATCAAACAACAGATGGCAAATCACTAATGAGTCATGAAATTAGTTTAAAGGATTGAGATCAGAATTTTTTAAACAATAAAATTTAAAAATATCAGAGAGCATTATGAGTAATAGATAAGCACTGTTTCATGGACTGTTTGCCTCATCTGTGTCTCTGGGGTGGGGTGCTCGGTGGATGTGTGGGTGTCAGTGTGACATAAAACTTATTTCTTACTCTGAGTCATGGCAACTACATTTGAAAGCCTGCAGAAACTCTCACACATATTCCCCAGAAAACACATGCGAGATTTTTCATAAGAGCTCTGTGCTGAATACCAAAAACACAGTCCGTGTCTAGTGATACTGGAGACCAGAATGGATAAGTAAACTGGATATGCACGTGGCAAAATGTAATGAGCGAGATACTGGCATTTGTCATGTTTATTTATCCTTTTTATGTTTCTATGTTCTTTCTACACATAAGAACTTGGACAAATCTTAGAAACAAAATACTGAGTGAAAAGGGGAAGCTACAGAATACCACATGCATTATGCCTGATTTATCAAGCTTAAAGTCAATGCTAAAAAATCAATAAAGACAGTCAAACACATGGATTCTGAAGTCAGATGATCTGGGTTTGAATCCTACCCCTTCACTCGTTAGTATGTAACGTTGGGCAAAAAACTTAACCTCTGTGCCTCAGTTTCCTCATCTATGAAATGGATATAATAACCTATATCATGGAGTGTTTATGATTAAAATCCGTGAGATGCTTGGAATAGTGAACATGCAACAAAGAAGGAACGCTGTAGAAAAAAACAGAATTAGCATGTTTTAGTTTTCAGTTGGGGAGTGAGTACGCGAGCATTAGTTTTACATGTGTGTGTATTTTTGTGCATATCAAACATTAAACATTTCAAACAAGAGTGAGCTGTGCCATGACAAGGCTCTGTGCTCTCAAACTCAACAGTAAGACACTGAGGGCCAGAGATGGTGATAGCCTGAGCAGTTACATACCTGGTTCTCAGGTTGTCGCCCCCAGACTCAGCCCAGCTTCGAAGCCAGCTAGCAAGTGGTCTTTCTTGGCACTGTTTGGTGTATTGAGCCAGCAATTCCCGCACCACAACCTGTGCACAGAGTTTACCATTTGTCAGTCGGTTGTCAAAAACATAAAAAAAAATGCAAATGTCTTCAAATACTGCAGCCAGATGAGGTCTAGCTGCTTCTAGCAAACTCCTTGGAAGGAACCAAATATAAGACCTCATCTTTCCAGGGGCCCCCACTCCCCTATGGCAAACGAGCAGCTCTTCCCTTCCACTCTCAGTCCCTCCCCTCACAGCTTGGCCAAAGAGCTAACCACATACTGCTCCCTCTCTCCCCTGGGACCAGCCTCTAAAGCCGGTCCCAGACCAACTATGTCAGCTGACACTTCACATAAAACCAACTTGCCTTCTCTGGACCAGATAAATGTCTGGCCTGTTTTCTGTTCTGACTCTGATAGTCTCCGGTTCATTAGGCCTTTGGGGAATCACGTTAAAATGTACACGCAAAACCATCTCCATCAATCTCTTCCCTCAACAGCTTTAAAGTTACGATATGGGCCAAAAACTCCTGCGTGCTTTCCCAGGTTTGCTAAAAGAAGATGTCTGTGGCCGGCCTGGAGCAGAGAGAGGCCCCGGTGACGGCAGCAGCTGTTGAACATGTCCGTGAGGCCACCTGGGCCCAGGCTGCCCATGAGCCTTTGGTGTGAGTGGCCCAGGCCACCGGCCAAGGGACCTGGAGGTGGCCCAGCCCCAACTGCCGACCCACAGAACCCCCAGGTAACAATCACATGTTGTTTTAAGCTACTAAATTCGGGGGTGGTTTGTTACACCATGATAAATAGCTGATTCATTCTCCTGCAAAACCAACTTTAGAGTATTTTCTTCTTTGTTTCATATACATTTATGTTTTTATAGATATTGTATAAAATGTTGTATATCTTTTCAATCAACCCCTTACAAGTATATTGTAAGGGGTGGTTTTGGTTCATATTGCTGTTGCAGATCGTTTATCTGTTTAAGGGCTGTATAACATCTTTTGGTTGGAAAAAATCATAGGCAATTAAACATTCCATTCAGTTAGATATTTAGGCTGTTTCCAAGTTTATAGTGTCACTAATAACTGTGATATCAATATCTTCAGACGAATCGCACTGTCCTCTTTTTGGTTATTACCTGGGACTAAATCTGTGAGTCCACTAAAGCCAGAGGTGGCCATACGACTTGCTTTAGGCCAGTGACACACAAGCTGGTGCAATGTTCCCAGGTGTGACTGGTCGGTCCCTCTGGGCATCAGTCTACGCTGGACACTGTCATGCTAATCCATGTACAGACATAGCACTGTGAGGTCTTACACTGTCGTTACATTTACTGTAAATTACTTTCCTTTTTTTAAAAACTATTTTCTTGAATTCTTGAAATTATGCTTCTAGATAAGTTAAATCATCTATGATTTTACTTCAGGATAGTAAAGGGGGTGTCACAAAATATTTTTTTATAAAAAAGAGAGCATTGGGCCGAGTAAGTTTAAGAATCACCATACTATGGGTCAAGGGACGTGAACAGTTTTATGGTTGCTGCTATAGAAAATAAGTGTGAACATCAGAACACTTCCAGCAATGGAAGAAATGGGGGAACTTAACTAACTTTAAATAGAATTTAAGTTCAAATGATACAGCACTCAAGTTCCATTTCACTGACACGCCACTAGGATTAGCATTTGCGTTCTTGGTTTTGACAATCTGTCAAGTTCACCACGGCTGTAACTCCAGCTCCCTCTTGTTACAAGGGCAACGTCATTCCAAGAAAAATAGCTTTTTCCTCCACAGCATTTCTTCAACAGCATTTATTTTTTCCTGATGAAGCAGAACACAGCTTCATCAAGAAGGGTCCCAACTTCCTACTGCCTGGAAGACAAGTGCCGGGAGGCCTGTCTGCCCACCTTGTGCCATCAGATGAAGTGACACCAAGCTGGGAGCTGAGGAATATTTCTTGAATGAGCGAATAAATAAACGAACCCCCTTCCTGTTTTCAACACTCACCCAACCTGTTCAACTTCCTTCAACTTCTTCACTCCTTCCGCCTTTCCTAGTTAAGCGACTTAAGGTGGCAAATTAACTCACTCTAATTAGAAATAAAATTGGAATGATAAAATCATCCAGTTTAGGTGCTAAACATAAGAAAAAGGATAGATTATCGGGCCTAATATCACAAAAGCAGATTTTTTTTCCTAAATAAATAAATAAGAATAAAAAATTTTTTAAAAGCAGATTTTTTTTTTTTTTTGCTCCTTTTTTTTCTTTTCTTTTTGCTCCTTGCTTTTGGCATCTTTCCTCCTTTTCTAGGTCATAAGACAGGAAAACATCATATAAAAAATGAGTTTATTTTCTGCTGCGGATGTCCCCTTGGTGAAAGATTAAATGATTGGAGCCATCAGCTGCCATGGGATTTGGGCACCACAGTCTCTAAATCCAATACTTTATTTGATAAATGACCAGAGAGAGGCAAAGGTAGGTCAGTCAGCATCTGGACGGAGAGTGTGATGAAAATGAGCTGGTTTCACCTCGTAGATGTGATCCTGAATACGTTATAATGTACTGTGCGTGTACACATACTGTATATTATACACTCTATATACATACATTTCTTTTTTTAACTTTCTATTTAAAAATAATTACAGACCCACAAAAAGTTAAAAAAATTAAAATAGCACAGAGAGGTTTTTTTGGTCTATTCATCCCTCAGATTCCCCAAAAGTGATCTCTTAAGTAGCAATAGCGATGATCAAAACCAGGAAATTCAATAACATGTTTATACACCAAACGTTTTAGTTATAGTAGAGATGTCATTATTTTAAAACAAACCCATTAGTAGGCCATTCCGTAAAGTGAAATATCATTTTTTTGTGATATAAGTTATTACATCTTTATCTAAGTCTGGGGTTTTCTTAAGATGATGTGTGACATCACTTCTTCTTACGGGATGGTTTCTGTGGCTGTGGACACGGTTCTCCGGTTTTCCACAGGAATACTCTCAATCTTCCTCGCGCACTTGATCAATTCTCAGCCACTGAGCCTGGGCGCACCTGCTCCCGGGCTCTTGTGCAGAGAAATCGGGGGGCTGAGCCATGAAGACAGCTTTGTCTCTCCCTTTTTGGAAAGGCCCGCCTGTAGGCAGAGCCGGCTGGCCCACTGCCAGCACTTGGGCTCTGAGTCTGAGGCGCTGTGCAAAACGATGACATCATAACATGCGTTTGTAATGAATACCACGTGCGTCGGCAACACCAATTAAGTAACATCAATAAAGTTAGTTTTCAGGTCGAATGGCTTTTCAAGGCATCTATGAGGCAATCAGCATTTCTACACATAAGTATCTCACTGATTTATGCCAGGTGCAGTGAGACCTGGGTTACTTCTAAAAGGTAGTGTCTGCTGCCAAAGCAGAAACACTTAGAACCAATTGGAATAGAAAACAGGTGTCCAAGGAAAAGCCATCAGACGTCACCCACTCTTTAACAAGGATAAGCCGTGCAGTGGGGCCATACTCAGGTTTGTGCCACGTAGGACGATGGAGTCACTCAAAATGATAGTACTCATGGCGTTGGGGTCCCAAATTACGCCCTACCAGGACTGGCCCAGCACAAAACGAAAATGCAGGGCTCATGTTCAAAAATCATTAAGGATTTCAAGATGGTGAAAGCAGAGCACTAACTGAGCAGGGACCTTCTGAGCACGAGGTCCCGTATGACTGTCCAGCTTTCACCCTGAAGCTGGGCCTGGCCTTCGGGGTCCCAGAAGGACCACCAGACACAAACGTACCTGCGTATCCTGGATTTTCATTACAGCTACATCTGGCCACCCTAGGTTTCTGAGGGCAGCTCAGGCGTCACCAGGTATAAGACGCAGTGGACACAATTCTCCACCAACCATCCTAACTTCCCACCTCTCTTAGATGAACACCCCATCAAGGTACGGTTTCTTTCAGGAGAATCTTTAAAGATTTCTGGGTAGAAGAGATGAGCGAGAGAGCGAGAGAGCGAGAGAGCGAGAGAGCGAGAGAGAGAGAGAGAGAGAGAGCGAGAGAGAGAGAGAGAGTGTTGAGGAGAAAGAACCACTTTAAACTAACACATAAACCAGCACAATGCTGAGTAATTGCTAGGCCTTAAACGTGGGTTTGAATTTTACACTCAGGAGATGGATGGATTCCAGGCAATGATTTAAGCTCAGCAAAAATTTATGCACTGCTCAACTGAACTTGAGAGTGGTTAGGTTTTGTTTGTTTGGTTGGTTGGTTGGTTAAATCTGGCCCAAATGTAATTTATTTCCCCAATGTCTCTTCCCAACAGAAAATAAAGTGCACCTCTGTGGTTTCTTTCCCTCATCCCACCCACATTTACAGGGCGCCTGCTGTCTATACTAAGCACAGCGTGGATTAAAATGTGGCTACAGAGCTTCTGCCTCTCTGAGGCTTCCAGCCTGATAGGAGAGACAGCACAGGCACAAACTCTGCATTCGGGGACACGTCAGTGACCCGGCAGGCCCAGAGAACAGTGCGTCAAAGAAGGCCTCTTCTGTGAGGGTCAGGGGAGGTTGCTCCCTCTCCCTCCACATTTGCACACTGATCTGTCTCAAAAGGCATCTCTGAACCATCAGGTGGCCGCCACCTCACGCACCTGGCCCACATCGCAGCAGGCCTCCTCCTGCCATGGCTCTCGCCCTGGGCTGTGGGGACCCAGGCGAACACAGCCCCCACCTGAGCCTGTTCTCCTTCCCCGATTCTGCTCAACCTTCTGCTCTGCCTGCAGCTACTGGGAAAGGCTTTGGCAGTCCAGGCCAAAGCAGGGCCCTGGCACCACGTGCTCCACTGCGCACTTGCTAAGCATCGACCGTGTGCCCTGCATGATGACACTGGTGACAGGCGCGCGATACTGAGTGCATCTCGGGCATCCTTCGGGCTCGGGTCCAGGCCACCGCGGTAAGTCGAGTTTCGCCATAGAGTGAGTCATAACCTTTTGCTGGTAGAGGGTCTTGCCTTCAGTTTGTAAACAATGCAACAACTGAGAAGTATGTTAAAGTGAAGCCCAAAAG